AAACGAAGCAAAAATTACAAGTGCGAAACGGGCCTTAATAGTTAATACCACATGTACAATTGTTGTAAAGAGAAATATAGTCTAGGCTAAGTAGGTAATTTATGTAATATAAGTAACAGCAATACTTGATGTGATTGGTATATTGTATTACAGGTTTGCTAATTCGATCGTAATTTCGAATCTATTTGCAAAGTCAACAAGTTGAGCCAAATTCGCAGGGGTGTAGGAAGCTCAGTGCCGTAGCCAGAACGATAATTGGGGGGGGGGGGCACATATTCATATATTCGTGTTCTGCTTTATTAATTTCTTTTGAAATCAATTGTTTTTATGGTATATGAAAACGAATATATGAATATGTGCCCCCCCCAATTATCGTTCTGGCTACGGCACTGAGGAAACTTGATAAACTTGGGGAGAGGGGCACCATCGTTGGCGGCGAGCGGGAAATTTGAAATGAGTCTACATATATCATCCAGAGTCTTCTCTACCTCTTTCGTTAGGCCCTCTCATTAATTCTGTCATTAATATGATTTGTGAGTCAATGCTATCCGTGAGTCAGGATATATTATTAATTATTATTAACTGGCCGATCAGCGAAATTCTTTTTAAAATCCAATTTCTTTTTTCCAGGGGGGGGGGAGGGCACAGCAATTCCGGCCCCACTATAAAATATGGGGGAGGCGCCCTCCTGCTTCCTATGCACATGCAGTCACTGGCATTGAGTCCAGTGAAGCGACTGACTCGATTCGATCAAATAGTGAAATGACACGACGCGACTCGTGAGTCGACCTTTGAGTGACTCGACTCGTCTCGTGACTCAACCTGTGGGTGATTCGTTGTAGCACTACTACTAGTCCTGGATCGTTTGGGCTGCAATCTTAGACAAAACTGTTGAGAAACTCTATCAATTTTCATGAATTTAGTCCCTTCTTTTCATGTTTTACGCAATAGAGGGTTAGTCCGGTTAGAGTTTGGAATTGGGTTGCGCTATGGTAAGAGTTGAGGTATTATTTTGGGGCTGTTTACATGGTCCCATGCAATTTGCCAGGACGTGAAGGATGGCGGGATGATTTTGTTGTATTGAAATGAGTCGCCAGGCTTAAAAGAAAGTTCATACGCCCGCGTTAAAGGAACTGGAATGTTGACGAGAAGATCTCATTCAAGGGCGTAGGAACCGGGGAGGGGGCCACGTGTCCCCCCCCCCATTTTTTCAAGGGACTAAAAGTGCCCTTTTTTGTGATGAAAAGTGACCTTTTTTGTGATGAAAAATGCACTTTTTGTACAAGCTAATGTCGCTGTAAATACTAAATTAACATCAAAGGTGCCCTTTTTGTTTGGAAGTTTCCAATTTTTCTCAAAAAATTTGGTCAAAAACGTGCAATTTCGGTATGGTACGACGGGAAAATTTTTCTCTCCCCTCCCCGTCGCCAACATTTCTGGGAAAAATTTTTTAGGTGCCGTTTTCAATACCCTAAAGTGCCCCTAGAAGCCGGCAAGGGTGGGTTGACTACAAATGTTTTGTAGTTCGCTATAACTACAGCTACTTCAAAAATATGTAGTCAGCTACAACTATTCTACTGTTAAAGAAAGGTAGTTCGCTACTGACTACAGTTACTGCTTAAAAAATGTAGCGAACTATTTCGCTATTTCGCTACTCTATATTTTTAGTTTTACTGTATTTGGAGCATCTATTAACTCAGGCTGGAATGT